GAAGAGCGGGGAAGGCCTCCCAGGCACGGTGCAGCCCAAGCAAAGAGGGGTGAGCACGATAGGAGAGCAGGAAGCTCAGGGCACGTGTGGAACATGGCCACAGCATATCGGAAATGCGTAGCTGGGGCGGGTGCATTTACCATCCCCGCCCGGCTGGGGCAAAGCTTAGTTTGCCGGTCTCTGGCCTCTCAAGGTTCTTGCGAGGAGTTTGGATAATCCCTCACATGGGGACCTTCCAGCTCTTTGGCTCCCAGACCCTGCGCCAGGCCTGGGAGAGTGAAACAAAGCCAGAGAGGTGGAATGTGGCTGGGCACCTCTGGCACTTTCCTGCCAGCACTTGGTGACAGCTTACCTCCACAAACTCAGAGTCAGGTGAGGGAGACTATGATATGAATAAGGACAGAAGTGAAGGACAGTCTCCCAGTTCCACAGTCAGCAATTTGCCCCCTTCCTCCGGGAGTGGTCACTGAGTGCCCCGAACCCATCAGGCACTCTAGCCCTTTGCTGAAGCTGCACCCTCCGCCTGACGCCTTTCCTATCTTCCACCCCTGTCAGACACCCGTGCTCCCACCTGCTGTTGGCCTGGACCCAACTCCAGGCTGCTGGGAGTATTGGGCACCTACTATGCCTGTGGCACCCTTAGGGGCCGAGGTCAGGATTCCTGTTGTTTCCTAGATGAACAGAGACTCAGAGAGAAGTGACTGCCCTGCGGTCCCCCTGGGTGGCAGCAGTGGACACTGGCTTTGGACTTTGGTCAGCCAGACTGTAAAACTCTTCACCAGGCTGGGCGGGTGGTACGGCATTGGCTGGGCCTGGTTTAGGATTTTGGGGTCTGGGTTTGAATGAGGGAGGGGAGATGGGGGTGAGCAATCTCTGTGTCTTCTGCTTCTGGCGCCAGGCCAGGCTCTGGAGGCCCGCTTGGTGGCTTGAATGGAGGTGATTGAGAGCAACTCAGCGACCCCGGCCTGGTCTCATGATGACAGGGGCAGATGCAGGGTCCAGCAGAGTTGAGGTGGCCGGGGGGCTGCGGGGGGGGGCAGGACCCCAGGGGTGCAGGCAGCCCGACAGCGGGGGGGGCGCG